CTCGTTAACAACTCAACACAAAAAACCCTGCCTAATCCCCAGGAAGATATACACATACGCTGATCACCAAAACAACCAGCCACTCATTACCCCACAACCCCCCCGCCCCCGCAGGCACTCTCACTTACCTCCATAAATACCCACAAAAGGGTCACATCATCCTGGGCACAGAGAGAACCGCTCCTGTCCGTGCTCCTGCCCTCTGAAGATGCCAGTCACAGATGCTGGCGAAATGTTAGGAACCAAAACTTCCAGAACATGGCCACGCAGCCCGGAAGACCCACATCAGCCAAAAGAAGCATTCGTTTGCAAACCAGCCAAACTGTCGCAAGAATCATGCTGCCTTTGTGCAGATTTCTACGAAGGATGATGCAGAAAGATTACCAACACTCATAGTCCCAGTTGCAGTCATTAGGCGAGAATCTCACACTTCTGCCCTCCCATGCTTGCCTCTGCTTCAACTCCCCCCTCCCGCCTTTCTCCTCACCACATTTCTGCCCTTTTGGCTGCCCTGCACTTTGCCACCACCACCTACCCCTGCCGTCCACCACCACCCCCAGCTAAGCTTCACCGTTGTCTTCCTCCTGTTGCTGACAAGATGCACCCAGCTGAGGCAGCTGCAGACCCTTCATGAGACCTTCACAAAGAGGGGAGGCCTCATGCGGCATTATGGAGGCCTCACCAGCCATGCGAAGAGCCAGCAGCTGCCTCGGCCAGGCAGGAGGAAGAAGATGGCAAAGGCCAGCTGGGGGCGGCAGAGTGCAGGGCGGCCAAAAGGGCAGAGATGGGGGGGAGATAGGCGGGTAGGTGGAAGTTGAAGTGCATGCTGAGGTTGTAAATGCGGGTGGGCTGCCAAGTGCCCAAATTTTGATCATGTGACTGTGGGGAGTCTGCAGTGGCCGTAACTGCCAGTTCAGTGCCATCGTAACTTTGAATAGTCGCTGAACAAATGGTCATTAAGCAAGGACTACCTGTAGTATCTTTGTGGATAATAGAGTGTACTGCCTTAACAGAAGCCTTGTATCCAGTTAGTTACACTCTGCCCTGGTTAGACTACAAGTGGCATACTCTGGTCAGTTCAGAACAGTGCACTTTAACAGGCCCATGGAGAAGCTGGAACAGATTCAGAGGAGAGCCACAGGATGATAAGGTTCTGGAAACTAAGCCCATGAGAAGCAGTTAAGTGCTTTGCCTGCAGAAGCAAAGACCAAGGGAGATACAAAGCAGTCTGTACGTATGTAAAAGCCTGCCAGGTGCAAGGAGGAGCAGACCTTTTTCTGTTGAAACTAAGGCAGAAGGGCCAGTGAGTGAAATGAAATGAAGGCAGATTCAACTCACCCTCAGGAGACGCTTCTTAATGGCAAGAGCTGGAACAGCCTGCCCAGAACTCCCCTTCTTAGTCAGTGCCTGCCCGAAAGAGATTTGACGAGAAGACTCAGAAGTTGCCTTCTAATTCATACATTCTAGGGTTCTAATAACAATATCCCCATCCCTCAAAAAATGTGATAAAAGCAAATTATAAACATGCACAAAACACTTTTCCAATTCTTAGCTTCCCTACCCTGTCAGTCTGGTTGCTATCTCCAGCTAAAACTGACTCCAGAAACTGCTTTCTTCACATTAAATATGTACATGTGGCACTTGTATACGTGTGTGCAGCTTTATGTGTGTGTAACCCTCAATTGGTCAGAACTCTCACTGCAGAAACAGCCAGAACAAGTAATTAAATTAATATTAATAATAACTGCTGCATAGTCACTCTCGGGCACACATACATGGAGCAGGCACGTGCACATGTACGTTCTTCCCTCCCTCAGGCCAACAGAAACAGCTGAAAAAGAATAGGATAAGAAGGGGAAAAGAGAGGTAGGGAGCAAAATGGGGCAGAGATGAAATGAAAAGAGAAAGTAAAAAAAAGTCTCTGCTAGGCTTAGCAAGCATCAATTTATATGTCTTTGCTTTATAGAAAACCCACTGATTTTAGTGGCTCTTACTGACAAAGTAGATTGCTTAGGACATCTACTCTTCTTCACTCCTTATGAAAATCTGTCCAAACACAACAAGCATGTGCTAACTAGACCAGTCACCCGTTTTGTTGCTCCCCATGACTAGTGGGTGAGTATCTCTGATGAAGTAAGAGAGGAGAAGAAGCTGTTGAAGAGGAGACTTCAGCCTCATTGAAAGAGAAAATCCTAGAAAATGGTTTGAAGTCCATGAACAGAGAAAGCTATCCACTGCTGGACTCCGTGCACTTAAATGCAGTCCTTGCTTCCATCTCCTTGTTTTCCCTAGCATTGCTCTCTGTTAAGATTCGAAGGTAATTATGTGAACCCACCTTCCATTTGGGTAAGCCATTAGATTGGGTCCTTGCCCCCCCCATCAGCTGAGCCTTTTTGGCCAAAGGCCAGGCAGGAAAATGGCTTCTGATCCCCCAGACCACGTTCATCTCTCCCACTCACCACTTTGGAAAACTTCAGGAGTCTGTTAGGCATTAATGTTGAAGCCAAGGAACCTCTTACAAAGAAGCAATTATTATTTTTTATCATTTTGCCCAGCTGAGGGGGTGAACAAGGTTATCACCAGTGCAGAATAGATAGAGTATTATCTGTTCTTTTGATGGCATTGGTCTCAGAAGATATTTCCATCCTGAATTCCTTTTGAAAGAGATTCCATTCATGAGTTGTGCCCTGCTATTGAGAAGGAATGAGAGCATTGTGGTGGGCCATCCTCTTGGGTGCCTTAAATATCACCATACCCTTGGGGTTGGAAACTCCCCAGGAGGATCTGACTGTGAGAGGAGTAACCTCTGCAGACACAGCCAGTATGAACTCTTGAACTGAAAAGCTGGCTTAGAAGCACAGTTGGATGCTGGATTCCTTTTTAATACGGAGTGGCCAGACCCCTTTCTGCCTTCATGGTCACTTTTCCCTCTAAGTGATTAAATGCCTTTCTGTTACTGGAAAGGCTTGAGCTTCTGGGCCAGATCTTAGCAAGCGTTGTATACCGCATGAGTCCTGCAGATTAGGAGAGGTTGCTTTTGCTATTGTGTCTGCAGATAAAAAAAACAGAAAACCTCCCTAATCCCATGCAGCTTTCCAGTGCCCCTCTTCTTTCTGTCATGCCTTCACCAATATTTTAGGAGATGATGCTGATGAGTCTGTCCTGCATGGAATTGCAGCTGGACCAGTGGTTGCTGGCCAAAGGGAAGAGCTCGATGGGTGAGTAAGGGCTAGAAGTTCAGCAAATGCTTTTAGGGCTTGCAGGAAATGTTGGTGAACAAGATCTGGGTCTGTAAGCTGGTTTTGGGGGAGCTCAGAGCACTTTGCGTGCCTTGCCTGAAGGAGTTCCCAAGGCTTGCAGAAATATTAGCAGAGAACATGAAGCTCTGCAACTGGTCCCGTAGACCAGTATAAGGGAGCCCCTCTGCAGAAGTGGTGTTCCCTTGCTCTCCCTGCTTCAGCTTCCTATTTCAAGGTCTTGGTGCTAACATGTAAAATGCTTCTTCTAGTGTCTCCCAGGAATGGTCCTGCAGCCAGCTCTGCGAATGGCAAATTTGGCCCTGACTTCCCAGGTACCCATTTCTTGGGGGATCTGCTACAGCTTTCGTTTGCTTCTTCCCAGCGGGATCTCTTTGAGGAGAGTTGGTTGCAGTTTGCCGTTCGAGTGTATTGGTTGAAAGCTCGATTTCTGGCTCTGCAGGTTTGTATTTTGGTGCAGCCAAAGGGTCTTCATGTTTAATTTTCAATTCCATGCAGGATAAGTTTAGGAAAGGGGAACTCCTGGCACTTCAGGAACATCCTGGCTCCTAATCAGGGCAAATGTGGGTTAAGTAAACAGCTCTTAAAGGTGGAGCCAGGAAATGGCCCTTGAATAAAATGCCTTATGAAAACCCACTTGGCCTGTGGGGTTTATGACAGATGCTGGATGAAGATGTAGCCTAAAGCCATGTTGCTTCTCCAGGGTGAAATGGAGCAGGCCTTGGAAAATTATGATGTCTGCACAGAGATGCTTCAGCATTCTGCTGCCATGGAAGCCACACCTGACAGCGACAAGAGGGTGGTGATCAGGTTGCCCAACCTCCATGTTGATTCTGTGGTTTCTTTGGAAGAGGTAACGTCATTGTTGGCCCCAAGCCATGCTTATCTCACTTTTGGAGCTGATTTCGTAGCAGGTCTTTTTGAGCTCTGGAAGTGTCAAGGTTTATCTTGATATAAATGTAAAAGGGTCTAATTAAATTGATCTAATTAATTAATTTAAAAGGGTCTAATTAAATATAAAAGGGTCTAATTTGAAACCTCAGCACTTGCATTTGAAAATTCATGGGTGCTGGGAAGTCAGCACTGGGGGGTCAGGGGGTCCTTGATTTATATTAAAAGCATCATCTCTGTGTTTGAAGAGATGCTTGATTCAAATACTATATTTATGCTTCTGGTTTTAAGAAATGAGGACATTAGTTTAAAACAAATAAATAAAGCAGTGCTCTTAGAATGTCTTTCCACCTCAGTTGTCTGTCATCTTTCCACTATGTATTCTCTGGAGTTCATTGGACGTAAGAAAAACAGTTTGCTGGCTTTCTATAGTAGACTAAACAAGGCTAAAGTGTAGTTTGTGAGTCAACCTGCTATGGGAACCTGGCCACCATCTTAAGGTATAGCAACCAGACCATCTCCTTCAGTTACCATACGGCTTATTTGGTCATTGGGGTGGGATTTTTTAACCCTAGGTAGACATTGGTCTGGTGTGTGAACCCAGCCAGTGTTTAATTCTTGCAGATCGATAAGAATCTGAAGTCTCTGGAGAGATGCCAGTCTTTGGAGGAGCTTCAGCGCTTGTATGAGGCTGGAGATTACAGGGCTGTGGTTCAGTTGCTCCGCCCAACTTTGTGCCTCAATGGGGACAGCAGGACGAAGCACTTGGAGTTTGTCATCTCCATACCAGAGAGGCCAGCTCAGCTGCTCTTGCTACAGGTTAGTTTTTTTCCCCCCCAGGTAAGTTGGTGTAAATTGGTATTAAAAAAGAATAAATGCAACATTATCAGCTGTGTGGAAGAATTGTTGAAGAAGGATAAATGTGGCTTCACAGCATTAATGCTGTTTCGCTCATCTTTTAGAGTGTAGTGAACTTAATATCTGCAAGGATATCAATGGGACGATTGTGGTTCTTGAGAAAAGTCCTCAGCAAACTGGGCAATCATGGATAAAAAGATCCTTGGGAATAAAGTAGAGGAAACAGAATATGAATTACTGGACAGTTATAACCATATACATTTTATTTGTGTGTGTGTGTGTATAATCAAATATCAAAATGGGTGTAACCATAGTGTTCCCACCCCCAAGGTCTGTGTTGAGACTGGGTGTAATGGGGAGAAGGATTAACCTTGAGGAACAGTAGGAAGAGCCGCAACCCAGGCAACGGTCAGATAAAAGAAATCTATGCTCAGGGCCAGAACTGTAACCTGAGGAAGTCTCTCAGATATGACCCTCCCTAGTTCTCTTGAAGAGAAAGCGGGGGAGGGAGATGTGTTCAGGCTTGCGAGATTCTGTTACTGTAACCTCCTAATAAAGCAGTATTAGCATTCATAGCTCTGGCATCCTAGTTTGGCCTACCTTGAAGGGCTGACATCAGGCTTGCAAGCCTGGATGTGCTTCCCTGCTCCCTTCATCTTCATGAGAACCAGGGAGGGTCATATCTGAGACACTTTCTCAAATTACATTTCTGCCCTGGATTCAGATTTCTTTAATCTGACCATTGCCTTGGTTATGGCTCTTAATAGAATATATGAGGAGGTGGCTGGCGACCTTAAACCACGGGTGTGTAAAACATGGCAAAGGGAAATGAATAAAACTAGAATTTCCTGGTTTAATCATGAATGTAGACGTGAAAGAAAGGAATTAGCCAGACTTATCAGACAAATTA